TCATCGTCATCATCCTCATCAGCAGCATCATCATCAGCAGCATCACCATCATCATCAGCATCATCAGCAGCTTCATCATCATCAGCAGCATCAGCATCAGCATCATAATCATCAGCAACAGCATCATCAGCACGATCGTCATCAGCAGCATCATCATCATAATAATAATCATCATCATCGTCATCCTTATCATCGTGATAAGCATCATCATGATGATCATCTTCATCAGCATCATCGTCATCGTATTCACTCATCCTTATCGTCCTTCTTGTCCTCCTTGGATCAGATACTGAACAACTCTCGTGCAAGCTCCTCCTTTACCCTCAAAGGAGTCTTCGCAAAATCTATTGTTCCTGCCTTTCCTCCGGTGCCCCGTCCCCCGCCTCCTCCTCCTGCCCTTCCTCCCCCTTCCCCTCCCTCCCACACATCCTCATCCTCATCCTCCCTCCTCCAATCCTTACCGTTATAAGCAACTCTTCCCTTCTGAGCAGCTCCTCCCTGTCGCATCCCGAAGCCGGTCGAAAGGGCGGGCCAGGCGCGTTCCGCCTGAGACTTCCTCACCATTTCGGATCCTGAAGCTTCGAGCTTGCAGCAGCCTCGCGGATGGAGGGCCAGTCGTTTCCAACAAAAAGTGGCTTTCGCCTGAGCCCCGCGCACACCCGTCTCAAAAAATTGCCAGAACTTCGCGAATGGAGGGAGGGTCGTTTTCCAAATGTGGTCTTCAACTTAGCGTCAGGTCGGGCCTGTCCCCCTGCAGGGAGATTTTGGACGAAAAATGAAAAATATTCAAAAAATGCTCAAAACATGCGCAAAAATGGTCAAAAAATAGTCCCCCGACTATTTTTTGACTATTTTTGAATATCCCCCCTGTAGAGGGACAGGCCCGACTTAAACTTAGCGCCGCGCACATCCATCCTACAAACTTGCAACGCTTTCACGGATGGAGGGCGGGCGTTCGGAAACTGTGGCCCTCGCCCTACCGGGGGCGGCCAAGAGGGGTGCGTCCAAGAAGGGGGGGGGTGCAAATCATGTCTGGCGGCATGTGCGCGGCCCAAGGTGAAGGGGCCCAAGGACACACAAATGAATACACACAAATAACAGGATCTCCCATATTTTCCAATATTTTCAGGGTGTTTGTCTTCCCCCCCATTTCCCATATTTTCCTATATTTTCTGGGGAATCCACGATTAATTGTGTCTGTGTTTTTTCCCCTCCTGGCAAATCATGTCCGGCGGCATGTGCGCGGCCCAAGGGGGGGCCAGGAACGTAATGAAATAAGAAGAGGCGCCATGAAATCTGGGGAGATATCACGGCCCCCGCCATGATATCCACACACCCCTAGTCGTCACGCCCCTCTTGGCCGCCCCCGACCTCAGCCCTGCGCACACCCGTCTGAAAAGTTGCAAGAGTTGCACGGATGGAGGCCGGGTTGTTCTCAAAAGATGGCTCTGCCGCCAGCGCCGCGCACAGTCATGTTATAAACTTACAAGCAAGAGTATCACGCATGGAAGGCGGTTCCTTCTCAAGACATGGCTCTCGCCATACAGTGGGGGCCCGACCACAAGAAACCTTCCACGAGAAGCCCAACCCTGGACCCCCAGGACGTCCATCGATTTTTGGCGTGGGAACGTCACGCTTTCCATGGCCAAACCATCGAAACCCAAGAAACCCAGGGCACCCCGGAGGCAAGCAGGGTGTTTCTTGGCATGGGCCCACACTGTAATACCGCGCACATGTGTTATCAGACTTTACAACAGTTCCAAAGATTCTCGCGGCTCACGTCCCACAAACAGTGTCTTGGCAAGATGCCGAACCGTCAGGGCGCAACGGTTACATTGATTCGTGGAGTTGAAGTCCCAGGCATGATGCTCTGGCACGATTCACGATCATCAAAACGCAGCAGTAACAGTGACTCGCGGCGTTGAAATCCCAGGAATGGTGTTTTGGCACAGTTCAGGAGTCCCAAACGGTTGTCCAACGAGCCACTTCCTTCATTGAAAACAAATCCTTGTTTTGGGCCTATGGATGGAGAAACTTGGATGGAGGATTCATTGCAATGTCGTCAATGGCTTTTGGGTTTACCCAGGTCCTCAATCTCCTCCGCCTCGTCATCCTTAACCTCATCCTCCTCACCCTCACCCTCATCCTCATCCTTCCTCCTTCTCCTTCTCTTTCTCCTCATCCTCCTACTCCTCCTCTTCCTCCTCCTGATCCTTCTCATCCTCATCCTCCTCTTTCTGTTCCTCATCCTCCTGTTCCTCCTCATGCTCATCCCCCTCATGCTTCTCCTTCACCTCCTCCTCCTCCTACTCCTCCTCCTCCTCCTCATCGTCCTCCTCCTCCTGCCCTCTCTCTCTCTTTCTCTTTATCTCTCCTCCTCTTTACATTTCTCTCTCTCTCTCTATCCCGCTCTCTCTCTCTTTCTCTCCCTCTCTCACTGTCTCTTTATCTTTATATCTATATTTCTCTCTACATATCTCTCTCTCTCTTTCTCTTTTTC